TTCCAGTGGCAATATATATTTCCAACAAACTAGGGGACACTCAAACCAGCATTTGTAAATACGAAAAATATTTTTAAACAATTAGAAAACACGTAAATAATTGAAATTCTTCATTGTGTCACTCTATACAATTTTTACTTTGTTTTTAGGAATGTAGAAAATTTTATCTCATAATATTTCATCTTCTAAAGGGGTCTTACCTGTTGAACTTCTAAAGGGGTCTTACCTGTTAAATGTGCCTCTACAATTATAGTAGTATTGACTGTTTTATGACAAATATTTAGTTGATGTGTATAACTTTAATTGCAGTATTGTTCATAATTTCAAAGAGGTAGGAACATCTCAGTAGGGAAATGATTAGGTAAAATGTGACTATTATATAGTGGTATGCAGCCATTAAATAGAATTGGGTAGATGTGTTGTACTGACATAGAACGATGTCAACATTTTAATTAAACAAGTACAGAACAATATATACAGTGTCATCCAATTTATGTGTTTTTAAAAAGTCCTTTATTTTTTTTTAAATTTATTTTTTAAAATATATTTTATTGATTTTTTACAGAGAGGAAGGGAGAGGGATAGAGAGTTAGAAACATCGATGAGTGCCTCCTGCACATCTCCTACGAGGGATGTGCCCGCAACCCAGGTACATGCCCTTGACCGGAATCGAACCTGGGACCCTTCAGTCCGCAGGCCGACGCTCTACCGACGCTCTATCCACTGAGCCAAACCGGTTTCGGCTTAAAAAGTCCTTTAAAGTCATATATATCTAGGTTCATTTATAGCTGAAAGATTGGGACAATGTGCATTGAATTAATGTTGGTTATCTCCCCTTTAGAAAGAGATTTTCACAATTCATTCTGTAGCCTTTGTGTAATTCGAATCTTTAATAATGGTGGTGAATTAATTTGTAAACTTGCATTATAAGAAAAAAAATTTTTAATGAAATTAATTGACCCTGGCTGGTGTGTCTTAGTGGTTGGAGCATTGGCCCATGCACCGAGGATCGTGGGTTCGATTTCCAGTCAAGGGTGGATACCAGGGTTGCAGGTTCGACCCACAGCCCAGCTTGGGGCGTGTGCAGGAGGCAACCAATCAATGTGTCTCTCTCACATTGATGTTACCCTCTCTCTTTTTTTCTCTTTCATCCCCACCCTCACTTTCACTCTTTCTGGAAAAAAAAAAAAAAATCAGTGGGAAAAAATATCCCTGTGTGAGGATTAACAAAAAGTAAAACAAATAAATGAAATTTAATTGTTATTGTAGATGGAGTTTGATTCAGAAAGTATAAAATTTAGAGAACTAATCTGAACACAAAACTGATGAGTTCTGTTTAGGGTCTCAACATACTGAAGTTGCTAAGTGAAAAAATATGTAGAAGTAAAATTTCTTTTTTTTTTTTTAAATTAAATCTTTATTGTTCAGATTATTACATTTGTTCCTCTTTTTTTCCCCCCATAACTCCCCTCCTTCCAGCTCCCACCCCACCCTCCACCCTCACTCCCCACCCACTGTCCTCATCCATAGGTGCACGATTTTTGTCCAGTCTCTTCCCGCATCTCCCACTCCCTTTTCTCCCCAAGAATAGTCAGTCCATTCCCTTTCTATGTCCCTGATTCTATTGTAATCACCAGTTCATTCTGTACATCAGGTTATTTATTCACTTGATTCTTAGATTCACTTGTTGATAGATGCATAATTGTTGTTCATAATTTGTATCTTTACCTTTTTGTAGAAGTAAAATTTCTTATTCATAAGGACATACATTCAACCAGGCATAGGAACTTTAATGATTTGATTAGTTAGCTAAGTTGTATTCAGTTTTCATTTTAATAAGGCTTAAAAATCTTTACTTATGACTAAATTGCTTTTAACCAGGTGTGTCAAGTCCATGATCCAGGTTGTTAAGCAAGGTGCTCCTAAGTGCTTTGAATTTAAGTTGCCATTTTCTGAGAATGACACCTGGAGGTACAAGCATCTATTGCAGTGGTTCTCAGCTTGGCTGCACATTAGAATCACCTGGGAAACTTTTTAAAATCCTGATTTCTGGGCCTCATCCTCTGGAAATTCTGTTTCTTTGTTACTAATGTTGTGGCCCCACCCCATAACAAAGAAACAGAATTTCTGGAGGATGAGGCCCAGAAATCAGGATTTTAAAAATATTCCCAGATGATTCTAATGCGCAGCCAAGGTTGAGAACCATTGATCTATTGGTTTGGGAGTAGGGAATGTGGCCTGTGCTCCCTACAACTACTTTGTGTGGTTTGGGAGCAATTACTGAAGAGTGGTGGAGAGTATTTTTAGGATTTTGTAGTTACCCTAAGCAGAACTGTTTATTGGGAGGTTTGATAAGACAAGTTAAAGACCTGGAAATGGGAGCAATCTAGTGATTTCTACTCTAATAAGCACTGTTTTGAATTAAGAATACCTCCCTTGTAAACATGCCCTTGCATGCCTGATAGGCGGGTTATATGCCATTCTATTTTCCCAGCAACCCCAAGGTTACAGATAACCCACTAATCCCAACGGGTGGACTGTCTTTAGGCCACTGTTTCTGTCAAGGAGCTGGTGTATAAAATTGGGATTTAATCTCTTTATCTTTCATTTTCCTAACCAGGGATGACTTAGGTTAATTCCCTTTCTTCCTTCTCCCATCTCTATTACTTTGATCTTAGAAAATTTCTCTGTGTGTGTCATCCTTTTCTTCCAGTCCTTGTCCAGTGATTTGAGGAAAAGATTTATATTCTGTGTGTTGTCCTTCAGTGATCGAATAAAAATACTTATTTGGGACTGATAGTTTTCTTCATTTAATCTTTATCATAAGTCAGTGACCCATAGGGGGATAAGTGTAGAACACATAAAAGTTTGATTTACAGTTGGTAATTGGTTTAGTTTGTTCATATTATAGCTACTTTATGAAGGAACAGCAGTAACAATAAAAACCCCAGATCTCATGCAAGGTTGTGGCTGCGAAAATAATATGCTTGTATAACATATGATAACTTTAAAAAATCTTTTCAATTGTAAGGTTTTTTTTTAAAATAATGAAATATAGAATTTTTATAAGTTCTTGGCCTTATACTTCCATTTTTGGGGAAAGTTTAAACAGTTGTTTCAGGTTATTTTGGATCTAGTTTTAAAATGTGGATTTTCTGCCTGGCCAATGTGGGTTAGTGGTTGAGTGTCATCCAGTGCACCAGTTGGGTCTAGTCAGGGCACATGCCCAGGTTACAGAGTTCCATCCCCAGCAGAGGACTGGCCAGAGGCAGCTGTTTTATATTTCTATCTTTTTCTCCCTCTCCCTTCCTCTCTCTCTAAAAAATAATAATAAATCAATAAAAACATATTTAAAAAGAAAAAAAATGTGGATTTCCTTTTTTTTTTAAGGGCATGATAGTTTGTTTGAAAAAATTATACTGATCATGATGCTCAGCAAACCATTATTATGGCTTCTTTGTTGGATATTAACAATTCAGTATTTTTGGATGCTGAAATGCTTCAATAGGACCAAGCTATTTATAGAAATAATGAGATCTTTTCAAATGGAAATAAAGACTAGTTGTTTTGGAATTCTACTTCACTGAGTTAATTTTATTTCCTTATGATTCAGTGACACTATAGTGTAATATAAGAAAAAGGAAATTCTTTCATAAGTAAGCAACTTGAGCTTATAATTTCCTCATATTTTGGTCTTCAATGCTCTCTCCACCTTGACCAAAGCACAATCATGGGAGGCCTCAGATAATTTCCATACTGCTATTCCTAAAATGTGGATATTTTTTGCCCGTGTTATTTCCTACTTCTTTGTTTGCCTTGCTCAGTTCATATGTACTAGTACTTTTATTTCTAGTTTTGCTTTTCCAAATTATTGCTTTTTTTCCCCTCTATGAATTCTTAAGAGTTGTTAACATTGCAGTTATTTGTTGTTAGCCAGTAACTGGTGAATAAGCGATTCAAGCTATTTTCTTTTAACATGATTATATATATATTTTAATATTTCCTCATATTATTAGAATATTTAGGTAATATTTTTCACATAATTGATAGTTATAAATTACTTATTCCTAAATGTTATTGATAGCATGATTATTGAAAGTAAGAAAAATTATTTCATCTGTATAGTTTTGTAAGATCCATATGTAGCTTAAAATACTCCAGGAAATGCTTTTCTTTAAACATAATGCTCAGTATTTAGCAAATTTGTTGATTGGTTAGTTTTTTAAAATTAAATTTTACTTAACAAAATAGCAGTAATGGAAGATGTTACCACCCTTATGAGCTGCTTTGGGAAAAAACACACACATTTATTTAAAATATATATATATATATATATATTTATTTATTGATTGATTTTTTACAGAGAGGAAGGGAGAGAGAGAGAGAGTTAGAAACATCGATGAGAGAGAAACATCGATCAGCTGCCTCCTGCACATCTCCCACTGGGGATGTGCCCGAGGTACATGCCCCTGATCGGAATCGAACCTGGGACCCCTCAGTCCGCAGGCCGACGCTCCATCCACTGAGCCAAACTGGTTTCGGCTAAAAAATATTTTTAATGACTTCAGGGAGGAAGGGAGAGGGAGAGAGAGAGAGAGAAACATCAATGATGAGAGAGAATCATTGATCGGCTTCTTCCTGCATGCTCCCTACTTGGGGCTGGAGCCTGCAACCTGGGCATGTGACCTGATCAGGAATTGAACTGTGACCTCTTGGTCCATAGGTCGATGCTCAACCACTAAGTCACACTGGCTGGGCAAAAATGAGCATTTATTTTGACATATTTGCTTTAGTCTTTTACAAATGGAAAACCCCCTTTGAAAAAGTTTCATTGCCTTTAGACAATTTGAAGTGAGGATTTACTTCTCTTTTAAAGATGGACTCTAGCTTCACATTTTTGCACATCTTAGGCATAATTATGCAAATGAAGATTATGTAATAAGTATGTTAATTTTTAATCTTTAGACAGAATTTTTTATTAAGTATTTGTTTATTTGCAGGTATATTTGCTTACTTAAACTACCATGTCCCTCGCACAAGACGAGAAATCTTGGAGACCCTAATCAAAGGCCTTCAGAGACTGGAATACAGAGGATATGATTCTGCTGGTAATTCCTTTAAAAATAAATATGAGTTTTGCATGATTACTGAATCTAAATGGAAAAATTTTGTTTTAGGTGACTAGATCCTATAGTAATGTTTGCTTTATTTTGGGCAAATCTAAAATCTGAACAATTTTTGTCTTTTCTCATACTTAAAGGTTTGTTCATGTAATTTCAATACTATTATCATTTATGTTGAGTATTGCTTCTTATAGGTATCTTCTTTTGTTAAGAATATTACTGTAAAAACAAATCATCTGGGGCAGTTTCATGGTAGAACAAAGATTTTGAAGGACTTATTCCATAAATTATCTTTTTTCTTTTCTATAAATTTAATTTGATTTTCTCCAGGTATTCCAGACTTTTGGTATGTAAACTTCTTAAAAGTCTTCTACCTTAAATAAATGACAAAGCAAATAAAAATAACTTTTTGTCAACTTTATGTTCTACTTTAGCTTCTTCCCTTAACTGTATTGGGGATCTCCAAGATTACCCTCAGATTTGATGATTTCCTAGAAGGATTCAGCATATAGTTGTACTCATGGCTATGATTTATTACAACAAAGGAATAGAAAGCAAAATCAGTAAAGAGTAAAGGCACATGGGTGAAGTCTGGAGGAAATCTGGCACAAGTTTCTAAGGGTTCTCTCCCAGTGGAGTCTTACTAGGTGCTCTTAATTCCCCCAGAAAATTTTGTGATAGTTTGTGTGAAATGTTGTCTACCAGGGAAGCTCATTGGCACCTCAGTGCCCAACTTTTTTATCGGGGGCTGGTCACGTAGACACCCTCTGTCTAATATGTACCAAAATTACAGACTCCTAGAAGAGAAGCAGTTGTTCAGCATAAGCCACATTGTGTACTGACTGTTTAGGTGCAGTGAGCTATTTTTCATCAGAGTGGTGGGAACCCTTGTGAAATCCAAGGCCCAACTTTGCAAGCAGGCATTTCTAAGGATACCAGTGTCAGGCCTACTCTGTTAACTCTTTTTCTGTACATTTAACATTGCCAGCTGTGATGGGCATTTATCTTTCACTAGAGTCCTGGTGCATGAAATGCGTGAACAGGTAGGGTCCCTAGGCCTGGCCGGCAATCAGGGCTGATCAGGGCCTTCCCCCAGCTGCTGGCCGCCGGCCAGGGCCCTCCTTCATTCTGCACTGCCCCCTGATGGTCAGCGCACATCACAGCGAGCAGTCGAACTCCTGAGGGGACAATTTGCATATTAGCCTTGTATTATATAGGATTATATAGGATGACTTTCCTCAATTAATGGCAAGTCAGTTCCTCAACTACTTTGTTCTTAAAATTCTCTCCTTCCTTAGCTTCTCTGACAACACATCTCATTATCTTCCTTACATACTGATTATTTCTTTTCTGTCTGCTTTGGGGCCTCTTTTTCTTAAATATTAATGTTCTTCAAGATACTGTCCTAGGCCCACTTTTCTTCATGGGTGAGCTCTGACTTCATCAGCTTCCCATATGTTGGTGACTTAAAATCCAGATGTTTTCCCTAAATTGCACAGCCTCCTAGATATTTCTTCCTCAATAAACCAAGATATTAGAACTTTTGTATGTTTATAATTGAACTGAGTATCCAGTTTTCACCCCACTCTCTAATCAATACTTTCTGTGTGCCTTTTATCACCAAGTCCTTTGTTTGAGCCTAGGAGGTACCCCAGACTTCTCCTGCTTTCTCATGTTATATCTAGTCATTTCTACTCAATATCACCCATATCTATCTTCATTACCATTGTTTAGTTCAGGCCCTCTTTCTTTAGATTTGCTATAGCTATAACTTCTGAGAACTGGTTTCTTCTTTCTGTTTCTCTAGTCTAACTTCTTACACTGTTTCCAAAGAGATTTTTAAAACTTTTTTTGCCATGTGATTTCTCTACCTCAAATTACTTTGCTTTCCCAATACCTTCAGAGTAACTTTGTCAGACTCCTTAGGATCTTAAGTAGAATCTGAAGAGAGTATATCCTGACATTCCCTCTTTATCGCGCTTCTGAGGTGGGTGCCCATCTTCTGTTTTTCTCTACTCTACTCCATTCACAAGCTAGTATAATACTTTTTTATAATCTGAAACCAGACTGAATGTAATTATTTTTGTCTTTGTCTTCTCAATACACTATTAGAAATTTGTGGAAAGGAACTGGGTTATTTTCATTTTTGTCTGTAGCAGCTGTTCTGGTTCTTGACATGTAATGGATGTTTAGTATATGTTGAATTGGTAATAAGTTAATGAATTAATTAGATTAAAAAATATTTTAATTAAAAATTTTGCCTCACACTGATAATCTAAATAATAGCCAGTTTTTAAATCTTGCTATTCTGCCTTTTGATGATTTAGGTGTGGGAGTTGATGGAGGCAATGACAAAGACTGGGAAGCAAATGCCTGCAAAATCCAGCTCATTAAGAAGAAAGGGAAAGTAAAAGCACTGGATGAAGAAGTTCACAGTAATGTACTTAGTTTAGTTTTTGTCCCCCTCCCCCTTTTCTTCCTTCTCCCTTATCAAATTACCATTCTTCCCATATTTTAGGGCCCATTTAGTGATTATTAATATTGAAGGGAGGGGAGAAAAGTAGTTTTGTTACTGTCTGTACTAGTTTTAAAATATACCTGAGCTTCAAAAATGATCATATTAATTAGGGAAGGAAATTAGTTAGGTCCACTGCATTTAGAGTAAGATCAGTATTCTAAAATGAAGTAACCACAGTTTGTGAGGAAGGGCCTTTCATAGGATAAACATAAGGAAGGCAAGTTTGTTGATGGAATGGGAGATAGTCCTTTTTAAAATTTTAAAAAAATGTATTTAAAAAGTATATTTATTTCAGAGAGGAAAGGAGAGGGAGAGAGAGGTAGAAACATCAATGATAAGAGAGAATCATCGCCGAAACTGGTTTGGCTCAGTGGATAGAGCTTCGGCCTGCGGACTGAAAGGTCCCAGGTTCGATTCCGGTCAAGGGCATGTACCTGGGTTGCGGGCACATCCCCAGTGGGAGATGTGCAGGAGGCAGCTGATTGATGTTTCTCTCTCATCGATGTTTCTAACTCTCTGTCTCTCTCCCTTCCTCTCTGTAAAAAATCAATAAAATATATTAAAAAAAAAAAAGAATCATCAATCGGCTGCCTCCTGCACTCCCCACACTGGGGATTGAGCCCGCAACCCAGGCATGTGCCCTGACCAGGAATCGAACCATGACCTCCTGGTTCATAGGTTGATGCTCAACCACTGAGCCACGCCAGCTGGGTGGGAGAGAGTCTTTTTAAAATTTTTTTAAATTAAATTTATTGGGGTGATATTGGTAGACATAGAGGTTGTTTCTACATTTTGCTGCAATGAATCTTGTCATGCTCCTTGTCCACAGTATTTTTTTCAAGTATATAACCAACAGTAGAGGTGCTTGGGCACAGGGTATAGGCATCTCTTTTACAGACATGGCCAGATTGCTCTTCAAAGTGATTTATTAATTTTGGATAATTAATACCACTAAGGGAATGGGATAATAAATTGTAATGACAGTGAGTGACCATATGTAGCTTTTGAAAGGAGGGCACTGGGTCTGGTTCTGCATGTGGGGACCTGGAGAATTACAGGGAACCTAATGTTGAGTGAAAAAAACAGCCAGCAGTATAGGATATGTAAGGAGTAGGACCATTTATGTTGACGTTTGTTATCTCTGGATGTAGGTATTTGCGTCTTTATCATTGCCAGCAAATTTAAATGTTTGAATTATTAAAAAAGAGAAGGGTGACATCTAAGAGAAGGTATGAAGAGGGCAAAAAGCCTTGGGCATGAAGTTGGTGAGAAGACACAAGGTACAAGTAAGGAAATTATTGAGGGGTTACAGCTCAGATAGGTGAAGGCACAGGGAGAGAGTTAACCTTTATAGGAGTCAAACGTAAAAGAAAAGCTAAGTTAGACAGTTATGAGGTAAGAGGGAAAAGCTTAATAAAGTGGAAATTGAAGGAATATAGGTAGAATTGAGGCTTAAGGAGAATAGAAAAGATGTCATGAATGGCTGGGGAATTGAATGACCTATCAGCTTAATGAATAAGGAACATGGGTACATGTTTCTTAAATGGCAACAGTGAAGTAAATAGAGTTGGTAATTAGCATGAACTTGATATGGATTTAATTTACAGATTCCTGTTAAAGACTCTTTCTCCAATGTTGCTTGCCAGCATGTTGGGGGAGATGCTTTAATTATAGTTAGCCTTTTTTAAACTAATCAGATGCTTTTATTACTTGCATTAGCTTGTTAACTAGTGATAAACAGTATCCTTTATCTGGAGGTCATTTATTAGGCCACCTTAATTATTCAGAACACAGGTAAGCCAGGAAAGAATGCATTGATGATTGTATCTGTTTACTGTTGGAGCCATCCAATAAAGATTTGTGTATCTGCTCTATTTATTTAGCTTTTAGTGCTTACAGTTCAAAGATAGTAAGACAAGCTGCTGCTTTTGTAGAACTCAAATTCTGATGGAAGCCAGATTGACAACGTCATAAATGTAATAAATAGTGCAGCAGAGTTTACCATTGTGTGTTTTTTTTTTTTTTTTTAAATATATTTTATTGATATTTTTACAGAGAGGAAGGGAGAGGGATAGCGAGTTAGAAACATCGATTCAGCTGCCTCTTGCACGCCCCCTACTGGGGATGTGCCCGCAACCCAGGTACATGCCCTTGACTGGAATAGAACCCGGGACCCTTGAGTCCGCACGTCATAAATGTAATAAATAGTGCAGCAGAGTTTACCATTGTGTGTTTTTTTTAAATATGTTTTTATTGATTTTTAGAGAGTGAGGAAGTGAGAGGGATAGAGAGATAGAAACACCGATTGGCTGCCTCCTGCATGCCCCTTACTGGGAATTGAGCCCGCAATCTGGGCATGTGCCTCCAGCGAGAATTGAACTGGTGAACTCTTGGTTCATGGGTTGACCCTCAACCACTGAGCCACATCGGCTGGGCACCATTGTGGTTTTAAATTTAGGCTCTGGGGTAAACCAGATTTGGGTTGAAATCCTATCTCTACTTACTATTCACTATGAACTTTGGTAGGCAGATTTTGTGATTTCTTTGAGCCTCAGTTTTTTTTATCTGTAAAATGGAGAAAACAGTGCCCCTCCTCCCAGAGTATTCTGAGAATTCAATAATAAAATGAATATTTATTGAGTACCTATTATATACCAGCCATCATTCTAGGTCCTGAGGACAAAACAGAACAAGATAGGCAAAACCCTCTGCCATGATGGAGTTTACTGTTTAATGAAACAGGCAGATAAATATATAATGTTAAGTAGTGATTAGTGCTATGAAGAAAAAGTATAGTAGAGGTGACATTTGAGCAGATGCTATGTGATTGTCTGAAAGAGGGAATTCTGGGCAGAGGGAACACCAAGTGCAAAGACCCTGTGAGGGCTTGGCTATCGTAAAGATGAAAGTCAGTGAGGCTAGGGCACAGTAAGTGAGGAGAAGAGTGGCGGGAAATGAAGCTAGAGAGGTGGCTGAGGGCTAGGACATGTAGGATCTTAAGAATGATGGATTTTACTGTGTGTGTCATGCAAAGCCATTAGAAAATTTTGTGTAGGAGAGTGACAAGATCTGACTTCATTTTGAAAGGATCACTTTTGTTGGTGTGCAGAACTAGATTGTACAGGTGGAAGACTGGATACAAGGAAACTAGTGAGAATTCTGTCGAAGTAGTTCAGGTGAGAGATGGTGGTGGCGTGGGTCACAGTGATGAGGGGTGGGAGATAAGGATAGAAAGGTAGATAGGGGACAGATATGTAGTACCTTATATGCTATGAAAAGGTATTGGGCTTTATTTTGAGAAAATGGCTCTCTGGTTATATGTTAGAATTTGAGGATCTTTTTGCAAATCTCTGTGACTAGGTTTAGGATGATTCATATGTGCATACCACTTTTTAAAGCAATGGAAGTCTATTCAAGGATTTTAAACCTTATTTCTTGATCAGATTTGTATTTTAGAATGACCTCTCATTAGCCAGTATAAAAACCACAAAAACTATGCTAAAGACTAAGCTAAAGTACATGGACGTTCAGAGTTCTGAGCAGTTTATTCCTAATTTAGACCTAATTCTGATAAACTTTGTTATCTGATAAGCTTTATCTTAGCTAAATGAATTTTATATTTAGGAAATTAGAAGAAGGGCATTACTATTAAGTAACTAGAACTATCCTTTTTTTCTCTCTCCCCCTCTACCCCCGGAAGAAGCAAGAAGAGAGAGCTCATAGGGAAAAGGAATCAGAATAGCTGCTTTACAAGATCAAGGAGCATCAGTCTGTAACCCCATATTTTCACAGTGTTGCTCAGTTCACAAGAACCTATTCTTTGATTTTGGAAGCTCTTCATAATTGCAGTTTATATTGTGAGATATGTTTGGGGACCAAGGAAATTATAGTCATAAGGCTATGTGGCACTGAGAAAATGAATTTATTTTTACATGTCTAATTAAAACAGTACTGATTATTTCCAAAGTGAAGATTAAATATAGATTAAAAAATCACATTCACTCTCTTTGTCCTTAACTCCTGAGTGTGAAAAATTTTAAGCCTCCAGAAAAGTTGAAAAAATACATTAACCACCCATATATTTCATCTATCTTTACTAATTGTTAACATTGTCACATTTGCTTTATCTTTTTTAAAAAAAATTGATTTTAGAGAGAGGAAGGGAAGGAGGGAGAGAGTGATGGAGGAAGAGGGAGAGAGAGAGAGAGAGAAATTTTGATAGGTTGCTTCTTGCATGTGCCCTGCCAGGATTGATCCCATAACCTGGATATGTGCCCTGACCAGGAATTGAACTCACTACCTTTTTGGTGCATGGGACAATGCTCCAACCAACTGGGCCACACTGGCCAGGGTACTTTATCTCTCTGAATACATTTTCCTGGGTTGTTATTGGAACCATTTGTTTTAAATATTTCAGCTGCATCCTGCATTAACTCCTCTAAATCTTTTAATTACTATTTTGAGTATGCCTGATCTTCAGTTTTAATAATTGTATATTCCAGGTAAACAGTGCTGTAATAATTACATTGAAATATAGTGTTATCTCTACAGCATGATTTAATATTGGAATTTTTCATTTTATCTTCAGAACAACAGGATATGGATTTGGATATAGAATTTGATGTACACCTTGGAATAGCTCATACCCGTTGGGCAACACACGGCGAACCCAATCCTGTCAATAGCCATCCCCAGCGCTCTGATAAAAATAATGGTATGGACATAAAAATGCTTTGGAATGATTGTAGAGGCTCGATAATGGGAAAAGAATGGAAGCTCTTATGTTTTCATAATTTTAATTTGGAAAATTTCAAACATATTCATATATAGAGAATATATAGAACCTGAGGCATCCATTACCCAGCCTCCACATTTATCAATATCTGATCAGTTATGTTTATCCATAGCCCCTGTCTAGATTATCTTGGAAGCTAGTAGATATTGTATAGATAGATATATCTCAGATAGCTAGATATCATAACATTTATTTTGTAAATATTTAAGAGTGTATTTCTAAAAGGTAAGGATTTAGTAGATTGATATGTCTCTTAGGAGACTACTCCCTTTCTCTCCTTTTTCCTTACAGTTTACTCTGTTTGTCCTATAGAATTTTCTGTAGTTTAGATCATGTTAATTGCATTCATCCTGTGGGTCATTTAATATGTTTCTCTGTCCATTTTTTTATTATAAACTAGAGGCCTGGTGCACGACATTCGTGCACTGGGGGGAGGGGGGGGGAGTGGGTCCCCTTAGCCCAGCCTGCGAACTCTCGAATTCCGGGAGCCCTCAGGGGATGTTCAGCTGATGGCTGAGGCCCACTCCCTGCCGGACCTAAGCCGTCAGTCGGACATCCTTAGCACTGCCACGGAGGCGGGAGAGGCTCCTGCCACTGGGCTCACCAGCCGGGAGCCTGGGTTTCTGGGTTGAAGGGCGCTCCCCCCGGTGTTAGCACACTTCACCACCAGGGGAGAGCTCCTGCGTTGAGGGTCTGCCCCCTGGGGGGCAATTCGGGTCATAGTGACCAGTCATTCTGCCTTTCAGGCTATTTGCATATTAAGCCTTTTTATTATATAGGAATAAAGGGCCGGGGGACAAAAATTTGTGCACTCCGGGGGGGGGGGGAGAGGGGGTCCCTCAGCCCGGCCTGTGCCCTCTCGCAGTCTGGGACCCCTCGGGAGATAACGACCTGCTGGCTTAGGCCTGCTCCTGAGTGGCAGAGGGCAGGCCCAATCCCTAGGTGCAGCCCATGGTCGGGCTCAGAGCAGGGCTGATTG